CCCTCCCCCCCGTCCCGCCGCGGCCGCCATGACGGTGACGGCGTGACGCGGGGGGGAGTGGGCGTGTCCTCACCCTCGGGGTGTTTGTACTGGTGGGTGATGTCCACTCTCTGCCCCGACGCGGCGCCCAACGTGCTGATTCGCCGGCCGATGGCTCCTTCCTCCACGTGCACCACGGCGAAGGCTCCGTTGGCTTGGCGTTGCCAGTAGACCTTGTCGCTGTTGACCTGTGGCCACGCCCCCCTCGTTAGCTTAATGAACCCCCTAATTAGCTCCTTAATTAGAGCGGGAGAAGCTCCCTAAGGATCGGAGTCGTTCTCACCTCGGCGAAGACGAAAGGAGTGTCGTATTTGAGGAAGACTTCGCCGTTTTTTACGGCCGTCACCGAGCAGGGCCCGCAGCAGAAGAGGCCTGGGACCAGTAGGGACCAGTATGAACCAGTATGAACCAGTAGGGACCAGTATGAACCAGTATGAACCAGTAGGGACCAGTATGAACCAGTATGAACCAGTAGGGACCAGTATGAACCAGTATGAACCAGTAGGGACCAGTATGAACCAGTATGAACCGGTAGGGACCGGTAGGAACCAGTAGAAAGCAGTAGAAACCAGTAGGAAAGAGTAGGAACCAGTAAAAACCAGTATGGACCAGGAGAAGCCAGTACAAACCAGTTGGGAGCAGCAAAAATAAGCAGGAAGAAAAAAAACCAGTAAAACCCAGTTAAAACCAGTAAAGACCAGTGAAAAACAAACACCTCCCAGTCCCTCCCAGTTCCATCCCAGTCCCTCCCAATCCCTCCCAGTCCCTCCCAGTCCCCCCCATCCCCTCACCAGTAGGGACCAGTATAGACCAGTAGGGACCAGTAGAAAGCAGTAGAAACCAGGAGAAATCAGTAGCAATCAGTAGGAACCAGTAAAAACCAGTATGGACCAGGAGAAGCCATTGATATCTTGCGGTGGATTCTCAGAGTCTTCCAGTATGGACCAGTACAGACCAGTAGGGACCAGTAGAGACCAGTAGGGACCAGTAGAAAGCAGTAGAAACCAGGAGAAATCAGTAGCAATCAGTAGGAACCAGTAAAAACCAGTATGGACCAGGAGAAGCCATTGAGATCTTGTGGTGGATTCTCAGAGTCTTCCAAGATGGACCAGTACAGACCAGTAAAGACCAGTATAGACCAGTAGAAATCAGTGGAAACCAGTAGGAACCAGTAGGGACCAGTAGGAACCAGGAGAAGTCGTTGAGATCTTGTGGTGGATTCTCAGGGTCTTCCAGTATGGACCAGTAGAGACCAGTAAGGACCAGTAGGGACCTTGTGGTGGATTCCCCAGAGTCCTCCTCCCAGTATAGACCAGTAAAACCCAGTAAACCCCAGTAAAATCCAGTAAAACCCAGTAGAAACCAGTAAAATCCAACAGAAACTGCTAGAAACCAATAGAAACCAGTAAGAACCAGTATGGACCAGTAAGACCCATTCCCACCCTGTTGACTTTCTCCAGTAGCTCCCTGAGTTTCCCTCCCAGTCCATCCCAGTTTCTCCCAGTCTGTCCCAGTTTCTCCCAGTCCATCCCAGTCTGATGAAGCCCAAACCAGTGCAAACCAGTAAAAACCAGTACCGCTACTGGTTTCCTGTGGAGTTGCATCCACCACTTGCCACCCGTCGTATCCCGAGGGAAGATCAGGACGTTTCATCCAACAATCATTCCAGACATGGAAATTCCTGGAAAAAAAACCAGTACAAACCAGTAAAAACCAGTACAAACCAGTAAAAACCAGTA